ACCACTGCTACACAAGAATTTGAAACAGAAGCATTCAGCCAAATCAACACCAAGCAATAGCTACGTAGCCACACATTATGTGTGCCAACACTTTCCCCCTTCTCCCTTTGTGTTGGAGAACAGCATCTGTTTCAGCTCAAAACACTGACCATGCATGCTGCACAGGGACGCAGGGAAGGTACATCATGACCTCAACATACTTTTCCTCACAGAATATCAGTCTTTGGGCCAGCACAGCCATCCCTGGAATGCACCACGCTCTGCAGAGCGCTTCCATTTTCCTTCCCCTGCTGCTCCAAAAGGAAACAACATCACTGCTGGTTTAGTCATCAGATCACACTTATGCCCACGACAGCCTTAGGGATTTCATTGAATTTTGGATCAATGGGGTTTTGTACCTGGATCCCACAGCGCTACCAAGTAGTGAGCTCCTTCACTCCCTTTTTGCATGCATGCAGAGATTTAAGGCAACACCACTGGACACATCTCCAAGTACACCTGCTTCTTCTCTGATTCTGTCACTTGGCAAAAAAAATTAAAGAAACACAAAAAAAAATAAACTAATGCAACAGTTCACGTACATGTAAAATGCCACCTTTAAACACCAATCTACTGTCCATTCTAAAGGAAGAGTCTCACCAGCAAAATCACCAGAAGCAAATGCATTAAGAATCAGATTTCAGTTTCAAAAGCATGCAAGCTATTGGGGAGCCTTGTTTTTCAAGAATGCCTGAAACATACACTGTGGGCCCACCACAGGCTCATTTACTAAGCTCAAAACCATCAGGGTGACTAGGTGGTCACAAGCTGGACAGTATTTAGCAATGCTAAGTGTGAGGCTTGTTTGATGTGACATAATTACTATATGTCATCTTGGAGCTAAAAAAAAAAAAGTAAAAAAATAAATCTCAGTTTTCAGTGGGCTCAATAAATCAAGAAAAAAAATCAATGGGTGACAATGACTACAGACACAACTTGCACACAAGACTATGACAACCTGTTGCTTTACATATCATCCTTGTTAAATATCTTAGTGGGTCTAACAAAGTATTGCTGTGGTGCACAACGAGGTGTTGGCACTGATACTGCTTTTTAACAAGACACATACATGTATACTGCACTGTCATAGTGAAAGCACTGAAGCTCTGGTTTTATCCCGAAGAGAAGTACAAGTCTGACAAGAAAGTTCCTGTCTGCCTTTCTCTATTTGTCTCATACAGGAGGGCACATCTGGTCACAAGCCTCTTTCAGGCCCTAAAACTCAGGGAGATGGATCAAACTCGTAAGAGATGAACCTCGTTTCGGTAGTATATGCCAGCATCCCCCAAAACTGCAGTAAATCGTGGTGATAAAACCTACAGTTTCATCCAGACTAACACATTCTTTACTCCTGGAGGCACCCAGGACTGCAACCCCCACATTCACTGGAGAGCTGAAGATAAGAGCAAGTGACAATAAAGAACAGAAATCCTTCTGCACCAAGAATTTATATAACCAGCTCTGGGTACTGCTAATGAGACCTATTCCCTTAACTCCCCCATTATGTTTCCCTGCGTTTTTCAGTCAGCTCTAGTAGCAAGACACATAATAAATTATTATTAAGTAGAAACCTAATTGATCACATTACAAGTACTTAAAAGTACAGATTAAGCAGTGAACAACTTTTTTATGCTAATGAAGGCCTTACAACTAGCGACCTGGTGCACTACTAAAGTACTTGAAGCTACTTCACTGTGCCCAATCTGCCCTCCAACTCTGGAACTTTTGAAATATACAAAATCCTTTCCCCTCCCTTTTGAGGGGAAAGAGACCTACATGAGTGAGAGAAACAGTGATTACAGAGGAGAAATTGTGAAATTAATTTCTTATTTGACAGCAGCTTCATTTTTTTCCTTATTCGTTTCAGCTATAGGAAGGATTTACTTTTTTCTTCTTTGTTAAGATGGATTGTATTTTAATAGAGCAATTGCCTTGAGTGCTTCCTACTTCATACCATATAATATGCCAATAGCACTATAGAGAGACTGTACAGAAAGTATTTCAACTATTTTAATCTGTCCTGTGAGAGGACTCAGCAAGTGGAAGGAAGAAGACTGCAGTCATATGATCAGGTAGTGGTCCATAGACCTCCACGTGACATGGAGATCATTTAGAGGGTCAGTGAGCTGCAATACACTTGATCTTGCTGTTCCATACTATACTGCAAGCATGCTCCACATGCTTGAGAATTGAGAAGATCTCTTGAAATTGCAAATGCTATAGCAGCACATTTATTTTTTACAGTGACTAGCAAACACTGACATTAGACAAGAAAGCACTGGTCAAATTGCCCAGGCTCTATGAAACTGACATTGCATGTAACAAGAAGTTATTTGGCCTAATTTTGCCTTCAGATGAAACAGGAATTCAGAGCAAAGGAAAAACTAAGAGGGTTACCAACAGTGTTTTAGAGAAGTTTCTTTAAAAGCAGCATTCATGAACCCATCCCAGGCTTTCTCCCAAAGCTCTGGGGCACAGCTCTCCCACAGCTGCATGGCAGCAGGCCTCCCTCTCTGCTGCTGGGACCACGCCAGTGCCACTTTGGGCATCCCACAGCGAACCAACACAACAGGTCGTTGCAAGTGCACTGCACTCAGTCAGTCACTTGGAAAGGGAAGGGTGAGCAGCTTACACCATGAAAGCTCCTTTTTAAAAAAGAAAGCAGCTACGTACGTGCAGAGCTTGATTTGCCATGTGCAGAAATCCTTTACAACACTTGAAGAGGCAGCTGCCGAAAAGCCAATGCCAGTTGGCAGCGTGGACGAGCTCCCTCTGAAGTCATCCCACGTGTACAGTCTCTGCAATGCAACTTCTGCAGTCTCTCCTGGAGAGGCTGGAAAACCAGAGGCTTTCCCCCTCAGTGTAAGGAAGGGATGTTCCCAAAAGCGGGGGCAGAGACAGGGTGTCTGGAAAAAGTGTAAGGCAAAGGAGCAGGGAGAAAGGAGCAGGAGGAGGAAAGAAAGAAGCAGGGGTAAAAGAAACAAGGAACAAAAAGATGGCGCAAGACAGGAGGCATTTTCTTGTATTGATAGCCTCCACCACAGTATCCACCAGGGAAAACAGAAATTAATACAAGTATCAAAGAGAACAAAAGCGTGAAAGAAGTGTGGAAAGGGAAAAGGCCAGGAACAGCAGCTGCACCAGCATCAGTGCTCAGGTTACTCCTCCCCATAAGGTCCTGAACTTTAGAGGCAAAGACATTAAAGGAAGCATTTGGACAGCCCACTGTAACCTGGCATATCAGAAAGAACCAGGGTCACACACACCTTCTAATTGTTCTACTCATGTAGGGATACAGCAAAATAAGTTAAAATGAACAAACTATTTTAGGAGCTGTTTATAACAGCCAGAAGAGTCTCCATGCTGAAGCAGCTGGCATTTATTCACTTTGGAAAGCCTTGGCTTCCTTACCATTGTCGTATCACAGGTTCTCACACGAAGAGGCAACACAACCAAATCCACTCTTCCTTGTTAAAAAGAAAACCAAAACCCTAACCACTCCCAAGTGAGACCAATCAGTCCAAACACCTGAAGGGCAGAGGCTCTCGAGGGGGTGGGAACCATTTAAACTACAAACAGGTAGAGGAAACAGGCTCTGTGATTTGAGAAGTTACAGATCTCATGTAACACCTATATGCCATCAATACTGATGCAGCAAGAAGATTATTTAAAAAAAAAAAACAAACAAAAAACCCCACAACAAACTGCTCCGACTGAACTGGTTAATGAGGGGTGCTATGTGGGAATAAAACACTCCCTCTCCCAGTTTTTGGGAGTGCTGCATGGAGCCCATTCAGGTGCCAACCATTAAACAATCAAGAGCACTGCAGCAGGTAGGTAGGTAGGTGGGATTCCTGATCTACTTAAGGAACAAAACACTTTCTCCAAGGAATAGGCAGGCAGTGCAGGGCAATTCATTAATACAGGTCTCCAAATTAAATCATAACGTGACTATTTTGTAGTTAAAACTGGAAGTCAGCAATAAAGGGCAAGCTGGGCAAGGGCTATGAGGGAGACTGTACAAAGGTCAAGGCTAAACAAAAAACCCCACACTCTGGCACAGATCTGTGGGGCAGCGGCTGAGTCACATCCCCTTAAACATTCTTACTAACTCAGTGCTCTTCCACAGGAATAGGGGTGCCAAGGGCTGGTCCTGTGCCAGAGCATGGTGGCCATAAGCTGCAGGAGAGCACTTCCTTCCCCAAGGAGGTGCACAACAAACATGCCAAGAGCTGCTGGACACAACCAGTGAAAATCATTGTTACTGCCTGAGCTCAGTTCCCCCCATTATACACATGTTCTTAGGAATAAAGCAGAAACGAGCATCACTTCTACTTTCATATAGATACATAAATATGCATACACACATCTACACGTATCTATATCCACATGCAGAAATTATACCTACAAATCATAGATCATAGAATCATAGAATAGTTTGAGTTGGAAGGGACCTTAAAGAAGATCATCAAGTTCCACCCCCCCTGCCATGGGCAGGGACCCCTCCCACTAGACTAGGTTGCTCAAAGCCCTGTCCAACCTGGCTTTGAACACATATATAGCAGTATCACACAATACACTGCTCGCACTGCACTCACCTAGCTTCAGGAATTATTGTATACATGTGCATATTCCCCTTCTTCACATTCAAACTAGCATTACAGTTTTGGCTTTGTCTGCAGAGAAGCTGGGAAGAAGAACATTGCCCAGCAATATAATTTAGGATAGAAAGTCTCAGGACATGTACAGTCCTTAGATATTCTCCTCTTTCCAAGTTAAAGAAATGGACTTTTTGATTCCCTCCCTTAACCCTTCCTTCACCTTCTCCTCTCTCCCTTCTTTTTCCCTAAAAAGAATTACAGCACATTTCAGGACAGAAATGCCTAAAACAAAGCTAATGACTTGACACTGTAAGGTAGGACCAGCTGCAAACTAAACCAGCAACAGGTAGCCAGCAGTACCTCCGAATGGCCCACATAGCTTTGCTGGGCACAGAAAGGCCCCCACTCCGCTGCTCCTCGGGTGATGCTGGGTGGCAGGAGCTCCATGTGCCCCGGTGGGCAAAGCGATGCTTCCCGTTCTCCCGGCCAGATGGAGGGACTTGCAGCGACGCAGAGGGAGAAGCCACAGGATGCCGAGCAGGTCTCTGGTGGATCCCCCCATTTCTCCTGATTACACATGCAAAGAGGGAAAAAGAGGGAAAAGGGGAAAGAAAAGTATTTAATTTTTTAAAATTATTTTTCACATATACTTATCTAAAGGTTAAACATTATGAAAACAGCACAGCTTGGTATCTAACTACAATAGACAGCATTTTATTTAATTCAAAATACAAAATCTTTGCATGTTGAGAAGACAGGATTTATTAGTTCCTAACTAGACCTCAAGGAAGAGACCCAACAGCAACAGAAGATGAGCACTCCCATATCAAGCTGCTCTCTGGTAAGATGGGCAGCACTGTGAGGAAGAATATGGTGCCGTTCCTAACTTTTTGCAGCAGAAAATAATTGATGTTCTGTCCAATTTAAACGGAAAATAAATCTGTACAGGTTGGAGCAAGGAGCAGAAGGAGATGAGTTTCAGCAGCACATAGAAGGCTGCTGGTTTTCTGCTGCCCCCTAAAAAAAATATTTAATACAGTCATAAAATCCTGAGCACTGCACAGACAGAAAAGTGCACAATACATGCAACCAGAGCAAATACGAAAATGCAGCACATCTGGACTACACAGCTTCACTCCTGCAAGCTAAATAACTGTCACATCTGGGCAACTGGATGCTACTGAAGCAAAGAAATAACCTGAAGAGGCCACTGGAACATGAACCTACAGAAAGGGGGAGACTGAGGGGATGGGAAAGGAAGAGGGCACAGATTTTCCCCTAATTAATTAACATCTGTGTTGTCTTTAGCCAGGCAGTTCCCGGAATGTGCCTGGCAGGCTGTAAATGCAAGCGATAACAGGCGTGCTGGCTGTCAGTCCCCAGTATACTCCTCGCTGGCTATTTGCCCACCAGTTACACCACTATAACTTGCTTATTACTTATCCTCATCACTGCTCAAGGAGCTGGAAGGGGTAGGTCCATCCCCCATCATCATCTAGAGGAAGCAGATTTAATTTGCTACCACAGAAACACAAATTTAGTCTCCTTTTTTTATAACCTAGATACACCAACTCATGCAGGGCTGCTACAGGCTCCAGAGCCTGTGGAGCAGCACTGGTGGGAACACAAGAAGTGATGGCAGGAGTGAGAATTTCCATTCCCAATGGCAAATAAGCTCTTACGTTCACTCGTCAGTAGATCTGCACCGGGTATAGTTTGGGAAAGAAATGGATAAAAACCAGCTGCTATCAAACTAAGGTCTTCTGACTTTTAATGGGGATACAGAATAGCATAGGTATTTGCGACACTAACTGGGTGAGGGATACAAACTTCAAAGTATTTGCTTTTTTTTTCAGTAACTGCTGAGAGCTGCAAATTATTCCAATCATTCCAGAACTGGCTGAGTATTTTCCCTCTTTTTAAATTCTGAAAGGACAGAAAGGCTCAAACCTGATTTTACTACTAAACATCATACAGCATTTCTACAACCATGACACTGTGACTGAATAATCAAGCAGATGCTGCAAGTAGAAGGATTTAAGCCAGAGAAATTTGAAGATGTTGATGCTTTAGTCAGAACTCCCACAGAAAAAATAAATGTTAGACTTGCCAGAGTGAACTGAGCATTTTAGGTATCAGTTCTTCACATCTGGTCTGTTTACCCAGCAAAAGTTACCAGGCAATAATAGAGTAACGGTGGGGGGGGGGGGGGGGAATACGGAATGAAACTTTGGTGCCCTCCAAATTTGTCAAATATGTGCCATTTCATTCAGAGGGGCAAGTCTATCTCCCACAGTGCTCTATATAATAACATATATTTTGCACACACAGGTGGCAACACTTGAAAAGCATAGCGAGCACGGCAAGTTACTTACAGGTTGAGACCATTGCAGGAGAGGGAAAAGAAGTCATAAACCAAGCACACACCAAACACAGTGACTCCAGTTTCTTTCACCAGCATTGCACACGTCCCGAGGAATAAACTAAGCAGCAAAAAGAATGGGGAGGCAGTGGGAGGGAAACGTTCCCCAACGTAAAGCTGATCCACACTCCTGAAAAACAGATTTGACGTAAGATATTTTAACTTCTCTGTCATTTTCATGTTTACTGCATTCACAGATACTGAGACACTTTTTCTTAATTCTTTCAGATGCTGGTAATAAGTGACATGAACAACCTCCACTGCCCACTGACAAATGCAGAAAGGTTCAGACACGAGACAGGAAGGCAGAACAAATACTGAGAGAAGAAAATGCTCAAGAATTTGAGCAGAGGAAGAAAAAAAGACAAGCAGAAAGAGAAAGTGGACTTGAAACTGTCAGAGGAAGGCAGAGCAAGTACAAAAGACAGAAAGGGCAGAAAAACACCTGCTTGCCATCAGCTAGAACACACAGGCCTAATTCTCCTTATGTGACAAAATGCACTATGCAAGCAAAAATTCCTCCATCCCACCCACACTCCCCTGGATCAAAGATGTGTCCTAATCATTAACAGACCGGGCAGCAAGCCTGAATGAGAGGGAGGAAGGTAAGAAAGAAGAAAAAAAACACAAGCTGATTCCTGCGGGGTCACTACCAGTTTTACACCTTTGAAACCTTCTGATGAAAACAGCGCTGCGGCTTTGTAGCAAACATGCTAAGAGGGACATAGTAGTTTTTCCACACAGCCACGATGACACAGTGCTATTCCTAAATCAAACAACAATGCAAAAGGGGCAGAAATCCCATTCAAGTAAAGCTATTTCTTTATCTGTGCTTGTTCAGTCCCAGTTTTAGGACACAGACCAGCAAATAGTGCCAAGTTTTCATCTGAAAAGGATGACTTAATGGTCTAGACACAACCCTTAACTCTCCCAGACTGTGTATTTCGGAGTCCCACAGTCGCAGCACGTATTTCAAAGGCAGGCACGTGTCTGTTCTTCACTCTACATACAATTTGCCTTCCATCAAAAACATTACTTTATAATTTTTAGCTCCAACTCCACAAGCCCTCCTCTGGTATATGGTCAGCTGTAATGTCAATGGAAGAGAGGATCTTAAATGTCAAGCTCTCTTCTTATGTTTATTTGTTCTCATAAGCATAATTTATTTGGCACTGCGGTGGGAAGCGGGGACCAGAGAGTACCTCTAGCAACAACAACCAAAAACTGACAGGTTTCCCTTTTCCCTCCTCTACAGACCAGAGCACCTCATCACATTATGACAACTGATAGCAAGGATCCATACCTATTATAGGAGAGAAAAGCCAACAGAAAGAGTAGACAGGCTAGGACATCCGCTCTGCCTACTATACCTGTTACCTAAAAGGAAAAGAGACAGGTGTAAAACCACGTATATAAAAAGGCATAAGCATTCGGTAACGGTTTCAACTGCTACTACTATAATCTTTTTATCTTTCAGTGTCATCTTCCCTCAACATACTGAAATGTTACTTGGCTAGTGTAGGATATGCTCAGTTTTGTCTGCTGTGCTTCTCACTTTGCAAAACAAATGAGTAAGCCAACAGTTAAGTCATGTCTTACATTCTTATTAAAACATTAATCAAGTTGCATAGAGAAATGCAAGTTTTAGGGATCTGTTTTAATTTTGTATAATAAGGCTGAAATGAAAAAGATATCCAGCTCCCAGAACTGAAATTTGTTAAAAGAAAAAGACTAATGAAAGAGCCACTCTTTGGAGAGGACATGATATAGGAATGAGTTAATATTTGAATAAACTTTATCACCAAAAAGTGATAGTGGTATATAATTTATTCTCTTTCTGAATAAACTGAGTTTATGAGAGGTTTTTTTCTACATATTAATTGACCAAATCCTTTTATAAGAAAAGGAACACTGAAGAAGAATGTATAAACACACTTTTTACAAACTATTTCAATACTTCATTTCATAAAGATCTAAAAATTGCCCATAAAGCAAATAAAAGGTCGTTTGAAATTTTGCCTCTTTTGAGATTACATAATTAAGCTATATCCAGCACTCTGGCATTTATTTTAACCTTTTTAAGTTCTGACCCAGACAAAAATAAATTCAAAGAGCGCCTCCTCTAAAACCTCCCTTATAATATAAAGCTGTACTATCAAAAGGAGCCCCGCTGATTAGTTCACATGAGAGAGCACAGGGAGTAACTGTAAAGCTCGTGGCTTTTTGTTATTAAGGTAATCTCTTCTCACAAGTTCTCAGCCACGGCAGCCGCTTCCCTCGCTCATTTACAACGGCGTGTAAGGAGAGCATGTGATGTCAATGGTACCTCAGCTAATGAGTGCGTTTCCTTTTTTAAGTATGGATAGCTAGATTTTGCATTCCCTTCTCAAAGGCAGCAAGACTCATTTTATCTACAGAAGTACTGCCCCGCATTAACAGACTGCAGTTTTAGCATGCCTATGTCT